CAAGGAGTCCTACCGAATGTGTAAGATCTAGAAAAACCGAAGTGAACGGAGAAGTTCATGGAGGTAGGCCTAGGCCCACTGGGGCTGTAGTGCCAAGGGAAAAAAAGCTGATGTTATGGCTGTTTAGATGACTTGATGAGGAGTTGTCCAGCGGCAAATCCTCAGTAATTAAAATCAGGTCAATTGGCCAGTTTCGTTTGAGCCGTCTGTTGTCTTCTCTTGTCGATAGCGTCTTTAGGAGTGGGTTTTTATGAGTTATGATTTCGTTATGATGTCTGTTGCTTTTTTGTTGGGTGACGTCTTGTACGGAAGATATACCGAGATCGGTGTAGAGTGTTGCGTTGGATACTTACCATGGTGCGTCGACTATCATTCGTAGGATCTTAGATTGACTTCTTTGGATTATTGGTATGTTAGATTTGCTGGCGCAGTCCCATAATTCCAGGCCGTACGTCCAAATAGGTAAGATTATAGTCTTATATATCAGAATTTTATTTTCAACTGTTAGCTTTGATTTTTTGCCTATTAGCCAGTTTAACTGTTTAATGGTTAAGTCTACTTCCTTTCGTTTCTTGACTACATGCTGCTTCCATGTTAATTTGCTGTCTATAATCATACCTAGTTATTTTATTTCTGCTTTGGATATCATTGATGTGTATGTCAGGTGTCGGCTTTTTTCATAGGGTGAAATTTATATTTTCATTTATTCTGATACGCCACTCCTCGAACCAATTTTGTAATGTTCTGAGGTGATGTTGAAGGTCTGTTGCTGCTCTTTCTGGGTCTCTGTTAACTGACAATATAGCTACATCATCGGCAAATGTTCCAAGAGTTATATTTGAGGAAGTGGGTAGGTCAGATGTAAATAAAATGTATAAAGTTGGACCAAGGACACTGCACTGAGGCACGCCTGCTTTTATCGGTTGTGGTTCAGATTTTGCGTTTCCCACTCTTATTTGGAACGGTCGGTCACTTAAGTAGGATTTAAGAAGATTAAAATATGGTGGTGGAAGGATTTGTTTGATCTTGTATAGCAGACTACTATGCCACACCCTGTCGAAGGCCTGGCTGACGTCTAAGAACACTGCTGTACAGTAGTTTCTGTCGTCTAAGGCTTTGTTGATGATATTTGTTATTCGATGAATCTGCTGTATGGTAGAGTGGCCTTGACGAAATCCAAATTGGTGGTGTGGAATCCACTCTTCTGGCCTCAAGTCTTTATTTATTCTTCTAAGTATAAATTTCTCAAAAACTTTGGACAACACTGATATGATGCTGATTGGGCGGTATGAAGTGATTTCTGTTGGATCCTTTCCTGGTTTAGCAATCGTGATTATTTGTGAGATTTTAAACTGTTTAGGCCAGTAGGACATTCTTATTATTCCATTAAAGATGTAGGTTAATAGTACTATTCCTTTGGGGGGGGGGAGTTCCTTTAGCATTTTTGGTATGACTTGGTCTAGTCCGGGTGTTTTTTTAAACCCGAAGATTTGCTCGTGAACGGAGAAGTTCATGGACGTAGGCCTAGGCCCACTAGGGCTGTAGTGCCAAGGAAAAAGAAAATATTTGATCACTTCTCTAATTTCCTCCGGGGTGGTTATCGTTAGAGTTTGTTGTAGTTCTATGGGAGCTGCTAAGTTTTGTTCTATTTCTTGGTCTCTTACCTCATTATGCGGAGTAAATTTATTGGCGAAATGTTTTGTAAAGAGTTCGGATTTCCCTTTATTACTTCTTGCCCAGGGTCCTGCAGTTGGTGTTGTTTCTCGTATTGGTGGCGAGGATTATTTAGGTTATTTATGATTTCAATAGGCTTCCATATTGAGTAATCATGCCTGCTGAGGTTTTGTATGTAATCCGTAAAGGATGCTTCTCTCAGTTCGCCAAATGTTCCAATTCAAAACGCTAAAGAACTAGTTAATACTCCCTGGTACGTATCAAACGCTACCTTACACAGTGATCTAAACGTACCATACGTAACAGAAGTGATCAGACCATACGCGGAGAAACACAAAACTGGACCACTCAAAACAACAACCAACCAATAAGAAACCTCTTCAACCAACCAGCAACAGAAAGAAGACTAAATGGAATGTGGCCAGAGGATCTCATTAGATAAGCACCAGAGAATCATCGGAGGATGATACCTGCTTCAATATTACACACACCCATCCCTTTTACTAATTACTCTATTTATATATATTGAGTAGATTGTAAAATTATTTCAAAATAAAAAAAAAGTTTATTAACGTAGTTAGCATGTTAAGTACTAAGTTTCTTTTCTGTGTAAGTTGATTAAACATCTGTTTGAATTCTTCTAGAAATTTGTTTAGCGTTATGTCATGGCTGTTGTCGTTTTTACCTCTTGTTACGTCTGCATAGGATCTGTTTACTCTGGGAGGCAGAATTGGTAGTGTGTTAGGTAGGGGGGGGGCAATAGGTTGAGGGACCGGTGCTGTAGTGTACTTGACATTTGGTATTTGCGTTTTTTGGGTTGCATTTCTATTTTTAGTTAAGTTGTAATGGTATTCGCAGCCCTTGTAATTTGCGGGATGCGCTCCTCCACAGAGGCCACATTTTGCTGGGGTGTCTTTGCTCTTTTTGCAAGTTGTTGAATTGTGTTGTCCACCGCATTTGACACACAGGCAGGGCCTGTTACAATACGTCTTAGAATGGCCGTATAATTGGCATCTTGTGCGCTGGATTATGTGCTTGGATTTATTAGGCGGTTCAGTATCAATGATTTTGTTTTGGAGACTTCTTATTTATAGACTTCCTTGTTGTTGTTTGCTGGCTCTAACTCTACAAAGAATAAGTTGAGCGATTCTTTAGTTTGACGATGCTTTGCATTGATAATATTTCTGACCTTGTAGCCTAGTTCAGATAATTCGCCAGTTATGTCCTTTAGTTCTACAGTATGGTGTAGGTGCTTTATGACTACTCTGTAGGGCCTTTCGTCTTTTGGTTGGTACGAATGGAATATGATGTTGCTTTCTCTCATAAAGTTTAACACCTTCCTATACGTTTCCGGGGAGTTGCAGAATTCTTCATATGAAGGAAATGCTATGAGGGCGTGGGAACCGATTCATTCAGATAAGGATAGGGATTAGTGAGGTAAAATTTGAATATTTTGATGCACCTTTGGTTTCAGTAATTTCTTTAGTAGATGAGCATTTTATCTTCTCAAGAAGGGATCTCCTCCGTGGAATTAGTTCTGCTTTTATTTTATAAAGATAATGCTCATTGTAAGCCTTTGTGATGAATGCGGTCTTGGCTACCATCTGCAATATCTGGAACCTCTTCTGGATATTTCGCTTTTATAGGACTGGTTCTGATCTGAATGTATTTTCTTTGTGTTGGTCTACTAATATTCCTGCCAGGAGCAATATTTTTCTCTTCTCAACAGCGTCCAGACCGGCTCTGGAACTCACATAGCTTCCTATTCAATGGTATTTGGGGGCCCTTTCCTCGGAACTAAAACAGCCCGAGTGTGAAGCTAACAAGTCATTGACGCCTAGTGTCAAAGATAAGAATCTCCCGCATAGGTCTTCATAGCACAGTACTTATTTAATTACCCACAAGGACAAGTTTGCCTGTAATTAAGATTATAATTTTATAAAAATTGTATTAATACGGATTAATATTTTATATAATTTCATATGAATGATGTGTTATGTTTTTCATTGGCTTAACTAACGTTAAAGAGAACGCATCCTTTAATGTTTTACCAAATAACTGATTGCAAAAACAAACGCTGGATGTAATGGGATAAATGAGTTACATAAATTCTTACATCATATCATAGCGGCCTCCGTAGTCTAGAGGTAACGTTCCACCTCATGACTCGTAGTACGCGGGTTCAAATACCCGGCGGAGGTCGTCGAATTTTTAAGGGCGGAAAATTTCAGGGAACAAGTCCTCCGGGAGGGACTTTAAGCTGTGTGTCCCGTGTCGTAGCTTTACGGCACGTAAAAGAACCTCATATCCCCAAAGGGGATCACTGAGCCAAATTCCAGGACTTTCCCGCCCAACAATAGTCTCTAAGGCCTCTGATAGATGGGGGAAGCATTATAGACACCGCTAAGCAAGTGGCCGAACTCGCTTGCTCGGCGGGACTGATGGTACGCACCATTTATCGGTAGGGTATAGAGACTGGTAGAATATCATAGAGGGAAGCACAATAGATCAAACTGGTCGCGGTGCATGGGGAAACCCACCCTCTCTAAATAACTAACTAACTACATCATATCATTGTTCAGACATCCATAGTCATGTGCTTCTCTTTTTGAAGCAAAGATAAAAATTCATAATATAATGTGTTTAAGAAAGGATAATGGGTTATATATGCGTAGATTATCCACACTGTGGTCCTCTGGACTACAGTACCATATAGTCTATTAAATTCGTTCCAGCCATTCGTGGGAACATTCTACTTCCATCTTCAGATTCAAGCTGATTTTATTGTACTTGTTATCTACGTAACGACGTCGTTTGTAGCTCGTAAAATAAAGAGGATTAAATATTGGGATGATTAATGAATTCTGAATTGGAGAGAATGTGGAAGGAAGTGGTCGTGTCCTATTTGAAAGTACTATGGAAGGAACTGATCTGAGGGACGGAAGACGACCACAAAAAAACTTCAGAATAGTCTGTGTTCTGAATGAGGTTCGAACCGGAAAGCTCACCAGTACAGTTCAGAAATTTTATCAACTTGCTCGATTAGGAAGATGAAAGTAGAGCCTAGTCAGTTTTCCGCCATGTTGGAACCCACTTACCAGACTACACGGTTTCATAACCGACACGACCACAACGTGAATATTCACTGTCTTGCGAACTTCAAATCTTTTAGGACATGGAATATTTTATATTCTCAACAATTCTTTATTCTTAATGTACATTAAAGAAATGCATGATGTGTTAATAATTTACTCAGTAACTTAGCGCGTATGGATATCTTTGTCGTGGTCTCAAGGTCGCAGGTCTTGAGGGTGATCTGGAACAGAAGAATAGAGCAATGTTAGCTCCACTGGGGAGTATGGTACGAAACGGAAATGTTATTTACCCCACTTATACCACAGACAATTGGAAATATCCAACATAATATTCCTATGTATAATACAATATGGAGGTATATTCTGGCATCTGGAACAATGCACGTCGGTTCAGTGATAGTTTATGTTGTTTTGATTATCATTACAACTGAAGCCGGAGTAGCGTAGTCGGTATAGCGACTGGCTATGGGCTGGACGACGGAGGGGTCGGAGTTCGGGTCCCGGTAGGGTCAAGAAGTTTCTCTTCTCCAAATCGTCCAGACCGGCTCTGGGGTCCACCCAAACTCCTATCCAATGGGTAAAGGGAGCTCTTTCTCATGGGATAAAGCGGCAGGGGCGTGAAGCTGACCACTTACCTCCAGCTAGTGCCGAGGTCAAGAAAATGTGGATCTATACATCCACTCCTTCATACTCCTTCATGGCGTAGTGCTTAATTAGTTGAGCACAGAGAGCACTTTACCTTAATGCGGCCGGGATAACTCAGTAGGTATAGCGACGGGCCAGGAGCCGGACAGGCAAGTATCAATTCCGGGTAGAGGAAATAGTTTTCCTCTTTTCCACAGTGTTAATATCTGTTCTGGTGCCCACCCAGCTACTTATAAAATGGGCAGCTGGGTTAATTTCTCGTTGGTAAAGCTCCCGTGGCGTGAAGCTGACCATTCACCTCCATCTAGATTCGAAGAGGTGGAGTCCTCATAAGTCCTCATGACGTGGTTCTTAATTAATTGAAGTCCAGGTAAAACTATCCCTGTAATAGGCCGTGAAGGCCCATAGGGGTTTGAGACGTCGAGGCTTCCACATTTTCTAAACAGTGGGCTCACAGATGGCGGTGAGGTTGTCGGCCTTAAACGTCGGCAGCCCTTTACCACCAGGAAGATGACTGGTACTCATTTCTTTGCAGACTGAGTTGACCCCAAGGCCACAGCGCAGCTGGAAGGATTAGGTCAATTGAGAAAATCCAGTTACCTCATCGGGAATCGAACCCGCGATCTTCTGGCTTGTGGGATAGTGCCTCAACGCACTACGCTAACGCGCGCCCCCTCACTTATGAATATATACTTATTTGAGAGTTGCTAAATATCTTTCTTCAAAACATACTTTTAGATACATACCTCTGAGGTGGAAACAGTTTCTCCTGTGCCTCGAAGCCGGTCAGTGGTATTCATCCAGTCCGTGGCTGAATGACGGCGCGTATTCAAGCGAAGGGGCCTCATGAGAGAAGGAGACCAGAGGTGCTGCTGCCGTCTTGAAGCTGATAGCAGGTGCAGCGTACTTGACGATAGGTTCTGAGTGGATGCTCAGAGCGGGAACAGAGGCTGCGTACTTCAGAAGAGGGGCGGCCTCATACTTTACTACAGGTGCAGCTGCGTACTTCACAATGGGCGCAGGCGCGACGACAGGTGCTGCTAACTTTGCAACAGGATGAGTCACGTGTACCGACGTGGTTGTAGCATACGATGTTGCGACAGGAGCTTTCACGGCGGCTTTGATAGCCACGGGGGCAGGAGCATATTTAAGTAGAGGGGCTGGTTCGTAAGATTTCAAAATTGTGGTCGGTTCATATGACTTAATGATAGGGGCAGGAGCATAGGTTTTCAGTATAGGGCTTGCTTCGAAACTTCCTAGAATAGGGGATGGTTCTAAAGTTTTAAGAATAGGAGCTGGTTCGTATGTTCTCAGGATTGGAGGAGCTTTAAAAGCGACGGAGCCTATGGACGGGGCTGAATGGTATACTGCAGGAGGTTCGGCGTGGTATATTGGAGAGGCAGCGTAGGCAGGAATAGGCAGGGCAAATTCAGGCTCGCCCGCCAAAGCTGTCGGTATCAATACTGCAACAACACATACCTGAAAGAAAAAGAGAAGTAAATGAATTTACTCTATGATTTAGGCCACTCCATGCCTTATAACAATATTTAGAACTAGTTTTAACCAAGTTTTAGAACAATTAACTATAAACAGGTACACCGTACAGAAATTACTTACAAGTATCTACCTGATGATGACCTTATAATGTCGAAACATATCCCACAAAACTGACAACGTGGCTCACCAACAGCCTACATGCACGATAAAAAATTATACCGTATATGTTGTTAATGTCCTGTATCTCTTTTGGATACCATTAATTTGGTTGTTTGTTAAACTACTATATGTCATGCGAGAAGTCAGTTACAATGGCCTCGTATGGTCTTGATGAACATACAGGTTACTTTAAGAAGCGACGTCATGAATCAATCGGCAAGTGGAGGGGATCATTAATGCAATTACTTTGTTGTTTCGGAGCTGAGAAGAAGCAAAACTTGCTCTGAGTGTCTCTCTTGATAGCTGTGTCTTGTTAACTGCCTTCTGTATATAGGTTTTGCTCATGGCCAAATTTGGCGTCGGAGCATTTAATAGCACACAAATTTTGTCCCTCTTTGGCTTCCTGGCATGAAGGAAACCGACCTTGGACATTTGAGAGACTTGGTCTTCGTCACAACCAGGACGTTTCCCCTACCTCCTGTTGTTGCTCTACATTTTAGGACTACAATCAGAATAATGAGACACATCTGTAACATGTCAAATAGCATTACTTTTTCTGGACAAAATAATGAGAATCAATATGTATTTTTATCGCACCGTTTTTTTTTTCACGAATATTATCCGCTATCACTGAAAGCCTCTGTTCTTACCGGGAGAAATTTCTCTTCCGACCTACATTCTGAAGGTTCCCGATCCGAACACCTATTATCCTGACCATTTTCATCATGGTTTTCTTCGGCCCGGTCAGCAACTACCGGGATAGCGCCTCAACCTTGGCCACAATCTTTTACTTCCACTGCATTCCTACACACAGAACACTACGGCGCTAAAGAGTTTAGCTTCTGACTGCGCCATTTAACAAACCACAGATAAATAAGTAAATTAATGCCCTGATTTTTAGCCTAATTTCCTTGTTTTTGGAAAATAAAAGGAAGCTTATTACATCATAATGTTGTCTATGTGTCCCCCGCAATCAACTTTCTAATGCTGGAAACAGTTTTTGTGAAACTTGGTATGTACGAATCATAGAATTTGAGTCCATGTCAGTGGAATGTTTCATAAATCCCTCCCATCAATCTGTATCCATATATGTATCCCCTTACCATTGCTAGGCAACGCCTGGGTAAAAAGAATTACTGTTGCAACGGATACATACGCAACATTAAAGGAATTATTGGACGCGTTTTGTATGCGGCCTGTGTCGTGTGAAAGGAAAATAGTCGATTAGTACTTCCCACAATTTCTTGTTTTCGAATTAAATGAATGGGACGCCAAATTATGGTATGATCACCTACCAGCAGTTTCATGTTGAACCTGTTAGCAATTCTTCAGTTCGCGCTAAATTGTGCAATGAAACTGACGCTCTGCAGAAACGTTCTGCTTGCTTATATACTCACACATATGTGCTATAGTTTTTATTTTCTGTTTCTTTATTCCGAGCGATATACTTTTCAGTCTGTCGCTCTCGGGCACGCCTCCTCCACTGCAAGCGATGCTGCTGATACCTTTCACTCTCGATGGCATCCATGCAAGGCAATTAGAACATTCAGTCCGTATTGCGCCCCAATCTCGGAAGCGGCACGCCGCTTGTTCTGCTGTCCGAATGAATGGCAAGGAGGTCATTGAGCGGCATTTAGAGCCTTCAAGTACAGCAGCGACGGGGATCTCAGTTGAAGTTAGTCTTGGGTCGTTCTTCTCCTTGGCATGATTCGGGCTTGGACCTCCTTCGATTTAAGAGTTCAATACGTTCGCATGAGCACAAGCAGACAAACCCATAGCATGGGGAGTCTGACTGCGAAGCCTTTCACAAGTCGGCAAAATCCATAGCAGAGCAGCTGGCCAAGAAATTGCCTGCCATCTGTGGAACTCGAAGCTTCGCTACCGTCTTCTGAAGCACACGCCGCCCGAGGAAAGAATAGGATTAAAGGGTGAAGAATACGGATTTCTGGGTTTTAATGACGTGTAGGTCGGAGGAAGTCTGTTTCTGCTGGTTTTGTTCTTCGCCCACTCTTCGATCATAAAGATTGAGGAAGGATTTCTCCGAACAATACGGCGTCACAACCCAGAAGAACGTTCTCTTCGTAGTCACTGCAGTGATAGCATCGTATCCAACAGAGATTAGGGTGCATGGAAGTGAAAGGTCCAGTAAAATGTTGTTGCAGAGAGAATAATGAAGGATTGGAGATAATTACATAGTGAAGAGATTCATTTTGTCTACTCTTACTTACTTACTTACTCCTGGAGCTGAGCCCTTCTGGAGGAGCCGCCATTTCTACAGCTACTCAAGAATTTCCCAGCATTTTATGGAACCCGAAGGTTCATTACCGTGTTCACAGGAGTCCTCCACTGGTCCCTATCCTGAGTCAGATCAATCCAATAAATACCATCCTATCCTATCTCTCTAAGATCCATTCTAATATTGTCCACCCACCTACGCCTTGGTCTACCCAGTGGCCTCTTTCCTTCTGGCTTTCCCACCTATATCCTATACGCATTCCTCGTCTCCCCCATTAGTGCTACATAACCTTCCCACCTCATCCTCCTTGACTTGGTCATTTTAATTATACTTGGAGAAGAGTACAAGTTGTGAAGTTCCTCATTATGAAGTTTTCTCCAACCTCCCGTCACTTCATCTCTCTTCGGTCCAAATATTCTCCTCAACACCCTATTCTCAAACACCCTCAATCTATGTTCCTCCCTTAATGTCAGAGACCAAGTTTCACACCCATACAGAACCACCGGCAAAATTATAGTTTCGTATATTCTAATTTTTTTTGTTTTTGGACAGCAGACGAGAAGACTGGACTGAATGGTAGCAAGCACTACCCCGAGTTCAATCTCCTCTTAATTTCCTCCTGAATTAGGTTTCGGTCTGTTATCTTCGTTCCGTTTTGTCTACTCAGCGTCTAGTTTTGCTAGAGTAAAGTCAAGAAGAATTGAATTGACGGAACATGTAGTACTCATGTGAAGAAAGAAAAACGCACAAAGTTGTAATAAGAATAATTTTAAAATATATACAGATTATTAACATCAAAGAGAATATTACAGAAATAGATCTTAAAAAATCCGATTTGCATAAACCAGGGTTAGAATACAGTGAACGCAAAGGCACACTTGATACATACAGTCAAGAGCACACCAGCGAAATACAGGAACAGCCGCACTACATTAAAAACATTAAGAAAGTATCAAAAACGAAATGAAAGTAATAAAATGAACGGTACTCGATTAGTGCGCAGTGCACTAGGATTCCTCATGTGAGCGTTGCCTGAAGATGGCTTTATACAGCCGAATATATAGCCGAAACATGTAGCATTATAATAATGAATATATATTTTAATAATTTAATAGTTTTAATAACATCTTATGCACATAACGACCACTGTATGGATTAAAGTGTGAATCAATGTTATTGACTGTTGCATTACACTCGTAGACTGTAAATTTTATAGAATACTAGTAAAAATGGAACCTCAGTGCAACACGATGCTTAAATATAATACTAGAATATATGCCACTGACAGAGATTTCAAATACAGTAAACCATCATTCTGTTTTTTGAAATCAGGTCACTTTCTCACCGGCTGACCCTTAAAACAGCGCTCCTCTTTACCAGTTACGTCCTAAGTAACTGTAAGTTACTGTAAGAAGACCCTAAGCAGAGAAATTAGTTACTATATCTTGTACTACTAAATATTAATAATATAATAATAATAAATATTATGTATATTGTAGCATATTTGCTCAAGGCAAGAACTTTGAAGCCAGCAGACAGAGCCGTTGCTAAGGAAGAGCCCTGCAAACATGCCTGTCGTCGAGTGGGGCGGGCACCCCGGGACCTCCACAAAACACAAACAAAATCCACACAAATCCAAAAGTTTGTGACGATGGTACATCAGTACAAATATTTTGTTTCCGGACATTAACCATGGTCCTGACTTTATCTAAGACATCATTCGCTTTATATTTGATAACATAACGTTTCGGAGACTGGATTCTGTCTCCGTCTTCACGTAAAACCTACTTAGTTGGGAGATAGGGACTACCTATATCGATTGGACCTAATTGAGTAAGTATTACCTGAAGACGAAGACAGAATCCAGTCTTCGAAACGCTGTGATTTGAAATATAAACAAAATGGTATTTTAGATAAGTGCAGGGCGATAGATAACGTCCAGAAACATAGTATTTGTAATAACCCACACAATTTATTGAGGCGTTTGTTTGTCTATAATTACGAAAATTAGTTCGTAATTTTAGTTATTATAAAAGATAAAAGGTAAAGAAATGTCATAGACTAAATTTTGATAGTGGCACTTACATTTTTATTACGCCAGGAACCCCACAGCTGTAAACCCGGCCTTGGTTATCATGGACACCCTATGTATAGGGCCATGGGTTATCATGGACACCCTATGTATAGGGCCATGAGTTTTATCGCAGTTACGTGCACCATTCCTTCTCTTCGATCCTGAAAGTTCAAGCAGTACGTTCCTCTGGAACGTCGGTAAACTTCCACCGGCTTACGTGACATCACATCCATAAAAACAGTCCTCTCCATGATAATCAGAACTTCAAATCGACATATTTATTGCGTTTGTTTAAATTACGGCTCTACAACCCCTGTGGACCTTCAGTCTTGAGTGGGATTCGAAACTCACGATCCCAGTGTTCGAGCGGGCGAGAACATTTCGTTTCTTAGACCGTGCGGCCACTGTGACTGGCCCTTGAAGATTAAACAATATTTAAGTTATCTAGCATAGTTGGTTGAGGCAACTGTGCTACAAGGCTAAAGGTCGCGGGTTCGAATCTCGATTAGGGGATTAAATATTTTCAATTTACCTAATCTTTCCAGCTGCCTTATGGCCCTGGGGTCGACTCAGCCTCTAACAGAAATGAGTATCAGGAATCTTCCTGGGGGTAAAGGGTGGCCGGCGCATAAGGCTGGCAATCTCACCGCCACCTGTGAGCCGATTGACTAGAAAATGTGGGAGCCTCGACATCTCACAACTCTATGGGCCTTCACGGCCTGTTACAGGGATAATCTGATCTTTTACCTTTTTCTTTCCCAGCACGTACTAACCTTGGTACTTTCGAAATCGTCATGTGGTGTCTTGGAATATTTTAGAGTGTATCTTCATCAGATAGTGACTCAGATATTTACTTCATAATTACAAAGTAATCAGGTTAATTTTCCAATATAAGAAAGGAACCAGGTCTCTCTGAAATCAATGATCCTTTCTTCCGTATTGTTGCCTACTCAAACAAGATATTTTACACAGACTATAGCATTTTGGACTACCTGTTCAGTTTACTGATGTTATTGACTCAAAAGGGCTTCTTAGATAGAACTGTACTCCAGTCACGAAACAATTCCGCTGACTCCATCACGTGACATTCTTTTATCACAAAAGAAACATCAGCAGAAGTATATAAATTTGCTCGTTCAGGAAGATGGAAGTATAGCCGTATGTGTTTTCCGAAACGCTGGTATCCACCTACCAGTCTAGACGGTTTCATAACCGACACCTAAAAATTACTAATATTCATCTTCATGAGGAATTTAAATACAGTAGGAAAGTATTACTCTTAATTCTTCATTTTTTCTTTTATTCCTATTATACTTTACAAGTGCACAATGTGTTAATAGTGTGACATGTAGATCCATTGCTAGGCAACGGCTAAGTAAACACATTCCCGCTGCAACGAATACGCAGACAACAATCTAATTACTTTCGTTTCTATACAACGGCGATGTACATTAAATACAAAAATAGAGGAAGTGGTGTTTTCTATGGGTTCGCCTCGTGACTATATAAATAGCAGAGAACAGAATCAAATTAGAACGAGAATGGAGCGAATCCTCGACAGTCCAGGAAAAGGGTTTGGTTGAAAACTGATTGTGAGTTATTGTAACTGTTTGTGATACCTAGTGATTTAAAAGAAAGTGTTAAAAATGAAATCATCCAATGTAAACCCCGTCTTATAAGTCATCTATGCATGTGACAATATTTTTCACTCAGTAACTTAGTGTGTATGGATATTTGTATCGTAATTTCAAGGTCACAGGTGCTTAGGGTGACCTGGAACAGATTACTAGAGTGATGTTAGTAGTACTGGGGTGTACAGTGAGGAAAACGGAAATGTTGAGTATCTGAAATGTACTTCATACAGTGTTCAATATGCAACATAATATTTGTACGAGTATAATACAATATGGAGTTAAATTCTCCTGTAATCACTTTTTTTTTCTGGTAATGGTTTGAAAACGGCAATGCATATAGATTTATTGACGGGTTATATTGTGCCGAGTATCATTATATCTAAAACTAAACAATATATTTTTCTTCCACTGTCAT